AAGCACTTGAAAAATGATGAGTGCAACTGAGAAAGTGGATTATTCAATTTGTTTAACTGTAATGAATTTAAATTTGAACAGTCGTGTGTGTCTAATAGCTACCCTACTGGCCAGTACAGGTCTATGCAGTTAGTTTAGGACTACGCCATTAGTTTAGAGCAAACTGAATACTAAGGCTCACTTTCCTATACACTTTGAGTATATAAATTAACCTAGCTCAGAATTTCTCAACTTTGACTAGATGATTCTTATGGGGGACTGGTCATTCCATTGTAAGGTATTTCATACCACCCCTGGCTTTTGCCCACTCAATGCCAGTAATACAACCCTATACCTGTTAGAAAAATAAAAAATGTCTCCAAACATTGCCAGATGTTTTCCTGGGGGCATAGTCAATGGTATAAATAATGTTTTTACGTAAAAAATTATATGAGACAAATAGCAATGCTCTTTAATTGAAAACAACTTTAAAAAATTTTTGTTTTATTTTATTTAGCCATTTTTAAAAATTATACTTCAAGTTCTGGGGTACATGTGCAGATCGTGCAGGATTATTACATAAGTAACATGCCATGATGGTTTGCTGCATCCATCCCCCATCATCTTCATTAGGTATTTCTCCTAATGTTATCCCTCCCCAATCCCTCTATGCCCTGCTATTCCTCCCCAATCCCCTACCCTTCAACAGGCCCCCGTGTGTGATGTTCCCCTCCCTGTGTCCATGTGTTCTCATTATTCAACACCCACTTATAAGTGAGAACATGCAGTGTTTGGTTTTCTGTTCTTGTGTCAGTTTGCTGAGAATGATGGTTTCCAGCTTCATCCATGTCCCTGCAAAGGACATGAACTCAACATTTTTGATGGCTGCATAGTATTCCATGTATATGTGCCACATTTTCTGTGTCCAGTCTATCACTGATGGGCATTTGGGTTGGTTCTAGCTCTTTGCTATTGTAAACAGTGCTGCAATTAACATACGTGTGCATATGTCTTTATAATAGGATGACTTATAATCCTTTAGTTATATTATACCCAGTAATGGGATTGCTGGGTCAAATGGTATTTCTAGTTCTAGATCCTTGAGGAATCCCCATACTATCTTCCACCGTGGCTGAACTAATTTACACTCCCACCAACAGTGTAAAAGCATTCCTATTTCTCCACATCTTCTCTAGCATCTATTGTCTCCAGATTTTTTAATGATCACCATTCTGACTGGCGTGAGCTGGTATCTCAATGTGGTTTTGATTTGCATTTCTCTAATGACTAGTGATGAGCTTTTTTTCATATGTTTGTTGGCTGCATAAATGTCTTCTTTAGAAAAGTGTCTGCTCATATCCTTTGCCGACTTTTTGATGGGTTTGTTTGTTTTTTTCTTGTAAATTTGTTGAAGTTCTTTGTAGATTCTGGATATTAGCCCTTTGTCAGATGGGTAGGTTACAAAAATTTTTTCCCATTCTTTCGGTTGCCAGTTCACTCTAACAATAGTTTCTTTTGCTGTGCAGAAACTCTTAAGTTTAATTGGATCCCATTTGTTTATTTTGACTTTTTTTTGCCATTGCTTTTGGTGTTTTAGTCATGAATTCCTTGCCTATGCCTATATCCTGAATGGTATTGCCCAGCTTTTCTTCTAGGGTTTTTATGGTGTTAGGTCTTATGTTCAAAGCTTTACTCCATCTGGAGTTAATGTTTGTATAAGGTGTAAGAAAGGGGTCCAGTTTCAGCATTCTGCATACGGCTAGCCAGAAAAATAACTCAGGTATTTGTATTAGTTTTCAATTTCTGCTGTAACCAATTACCCCAAAACTTTGTGACACAGAATAACCAAAATTTATTACCTTATAATTCTAGAGCTCAGAAATCTAGTCTGAGTCCTTTCTAGGCTAAAGTCAAAATTCTTTCTTTAGGATCCAGGGAAAATTAGTTTCCTTGACTTTTCCAGTTTTCAGAAGCTTCCACTGCTCACAGACCCTTCCTCTTTTTCAATGATCCAGCATGAAATCTCTCTATCTCAAGGTCTTTAACTTAATCACATCTGTAAAGTCTCTTTTGCCATGTAGAGTGACATATTCACAAGTTCCAGGGATAAGGATGCGAGCATCTTTAGTGGTCCATATTTCTCACCCCCATCGTGTTAAAATAAAAAGTTGCAGCCGTAAATTATTTCATACCTAGAACAATTTAAGATAAAGTTTTCCCCCAGAAATCCTAGAGAACAGGTATGTTATTCTGTGCTGCAAGTACTTTCCTACCTGAAAACATTTCACAGCACTTCTAGTCACACATAAATTCATTTAAGGAAGAATCAAATTTTTCTACTTTTAATGTTACAGTTTCTGGCACCATTCATTCCCAAGCTTTTTAGTGTCCAACAAATGAGGAAATATGATTCATTTCTGAATCTTTGGGTGGCTCCTGAAATTTAAGAATTCCATTTGTATTTTATAGAGTTATATTTACTACTTTAAATTTTCTTTTAGATTTCTCTTAAAAGTGAAGGTAGTATTTTACCATTTGAACCCTTATCCAAAACCTTCCTCAGCACTTTCCTTGTGTTTTTTAGGTTTTTGCTTGTATGCGCTAAGGGCTAGGGCATCTTAAGTTACAGAACACTTAGTGACAATGTTAATTGATCTATAGTGCCGAAATGTTTAAAACATATCTTTTCTTCAATCTGTTCCTATAAACTGCTCTTTAGAGTGAAAGCCTGCATCTGCTCAAAAGCGTTTCTGAGACGGGGGAAAATGAGTAAATAAAGCCAGATGGCATTTACATTTCGGGTTTCTTTCCCTTTTTGAGTGTGACATATAAGATTTGACTGTCTTTAAATGCTCATTTTTCCCATCCTTGGGAAGTTAAGTTTGGTGATATTGACAAGAGGCAATCAGGAGGAAGGCAGAAGGAGAAGTGGTGGCCTGAAGAGTATTTGCTGTTTCATTTCCCACTGCAACAAGAATGGCAAACTGAAAGTGAGGCTTTAATTTAACTCTTCCTCCACACTCCTAAAAATACGAGAACTTCAGCTCACTGAAGCCCATTGAGGCACCATGTATTAGTCTGTTCTCATACCGCTAAAAAGACATACCCAAGACTGGGTAATTTATAAAGAAAAAAGGTTTAGGGGACTCACAGTTCCATATGGCTAGGGAGATCTCACCATCATGGTGGAAGAGCAAGGAGTATCTGCCATGCAGCAAACAAGACAGAGTGTGTGCAGGGGAACTCTCCTTTATAAAACTATCAGATCTTATGAGACTTGTTCACTATCATGAGAATAGCATAGGAAAGACCCACCTCCCTGATTCAATTACTTCCCACCAGGTCCCTCCCATGACATGTGGGAATTGTGGCAGCTACAATTCAAAATGAGATCTGGGTGGAGACACAGCCAAACCATATCACAGCATGATTACAAAGTGGGGGGAGAGAGAGAGAGCAGGTAGACTGCATTTCAGTTTTGTTTACAGGGAACTATGGAAGGTAGAAATATAAATAGAGAACTTTCTACTAAAACAAAGCCACTAACCAAATTCACTTTTTCTATTATGGGTAGTCTTAAAGGTCTACTCTCACCCCACCTCCACCCAAAAATAGTCCCTGCATAAGACTTCTGGTCTGGACAAAATGGGACAGATACTTTTCCCCAGTTCCTCCAAGTTAAGTATAAATACAAACCCTAGAAAAAAACACCAAAGGAAGCCAGAGAATTCCAGAAGATGAACTGGTTAGAGGCCCCACAACTAGGGGAATGTCATTGTGAGAGGGTGTCTTACAACTCACAACCTCACAGAATAAGGTCACCCATACCCAGTGTTTCTAGAACCTCAACCTAGTAACCAGCCCAAAAAGGTCATTCCCACTCAGACCAAAGGGGAATCCCAATAACACTACCAAGTTGGCCAGGGAAAATGGAGGAGCCCTGCTGATACAGTTTGGCTGTATCCCCACCCAAATCTCATCTTGAATTGTACTTACCATAATCCATCTTGTGGGGGACCTGGTGGGGGGGGTAATTAAATCATGGGGATGGATACACTCATGCTGTTCTTGTGATAGTAATTTTCAAAACATCTGATGGGTTTATAAGGGGCTTTTCCCTCTTTGCTTAGCACTCCTCTCTCCTGCTGCCTTGTGATGAAGATGTATGTGTTTGCTTCCCCTTCCACCATGATTGCAGGCTTCCTGAGGCCTTCCCACCCATGTGGAACTGTGAGTCAAACCTCTTTCCTTTCTAAATTACCCAGTCTCAGGTATGTCTTTATTAGCAGTGTGAGAACAGACTAATACACCTGCTGACCATAAGAAGCCAGGAAAGCACTCTCCTTACTCACCAAGCCTAAGACTCCCTTCCTCCAATGAGAAACAGCAGGCAGCTTGCAGTACCAGCAAAGGGGATCCTGCCACAGAAGAAGGCTCCACCTGGGAAGTGTTTTCCTTGGAGAGAGGGACAGTACTCAGCACTAGTGCCTGTCTCCGGGATATCTGTTTGTATTTCCTCTACCTCCATCAGAGGCATCATGAGGCCCTACCCAGGAACTCCACTCCTTCAGGCAGCACCAGCAGGTACCAAGAGGAACCCTAGCAGCCCCAGATAAACCAAGCAAACCAAACTAGCGCCACAAAGTCTCTGAAAATATAATTGTCATTGAATGCACAACCTACAAAATTAGGCCAGGATCTTCTTGCAAAACCTAAATGGGATGACTGCCTACTAAAACAAAAGATTTAAATCAGACTGTGAGTATCCTAACACCATAGCCAAATTCCAGGATAGAATGAAAAATTACCCATCAAACAAAAAATCAGGAAAACTACAACTTGACTGTGAAATGACAACTGACACTAAACCTGAGATGAATCAGTTGCATAACTTACTGACAAAGATTTTAAAGCAGCCATCCTCAAAATGGTTCAATGAGGAATTGCAAATTATTTAGAAGCAAATGAAAAAAGTAGAAAATCTCAGCAAGGAACTAGATGTTATAAAAAAACGAAGCATGGTGCTCACTTCAGCAGCAAATACACTAAAATTGGAAGAGCATAAGATTAGCATAGCCCCTATGCAAAAGTGACATGCAAATTTGTGAAGCATTCCATTTTTTTGAGAAATTAAAAAATAACTAAAAAATACAACAAATATAAACTTAATGGATTCAATAGTAAAGTGAAGGTAACAAAGGATAGAATCAGTGAACCCAAGAACAGATCAACAGAATTATCAAATTTACCCAGTCTGAACAACAAAAAGAAAACAGACTAAAAACAAACAAATAACAGAACCTCAAGGACTTGTAACACAATAACAAAATGTTCAATATTTACATCATCAGAGGTCCAGAAGAGAGGGGGAAAAAAAAGAGTGGGTTTGAAAAAGTACTTTTAAAATAATGGTTTAAAATTTTCCAAATTCAGCCAAAAAATATAAATCTACAGATTTATAAGCTGAATACATCTCAAACAGGATAAACCCAAAGAAATTCACCCCAGGACATTTCATAATTAAAAATTTGAGAAGTGAAGTGCAAAAAAAAGTCTCAAAAGCATGCAGAGAGCAACACATTACCTATTATGGAACAACAACTCAAAGAACCGCAAATTTCTTACCTGAAACCATACAGGCCAGAAGGAAATGGCATACTTTCCAAGTGCTGAAAACAAAGAACTGACATCTTCAAATTCTATATCCAGGAAAACTATACTTCAAGAATGAAAAGAATATAGAAACATTCTTAGATGAAAGAAACACAAAGAATTTGTTGCTAGCAGAACTTTAAAAAATGGCTACAATAAGTTTTTTGAACACAAAAAAAATGATGGAAGATGGAATCTCGGAGCATCAGGAAAGAAACAACAAAATGGGCTGAAATATGGCTACATAGGATAGATGATCCTCCTCATGAGTTTCATAAGATACACTAGATGACTGAAACAAACATTATAACACCATCTGATACTCAAGTCAACAATATTTAAAAATGGGAAAGGTAACCACATTTAAATGGAAATAAGATTTCCATGTGTCACTCAAAGTGGTAAAATGTTGCTATCAGTAGACTGTGATAAGTCACACATGTATTGTAATGAGAAAGCAATCAAAAGGAAAACTATTCAGAGAGGTGTACTAAAAAACATAATAAATAAATAAATCAAGGTATAATCCCAAAAGTCCTCAATGTCTATTTGGGATTCTGCATATTAAATGACTCAATATAAATAAAAGTATACTTTGTTTGCGGCAAAGTCCTAGACTAGGAGTTACCTCATTCCGAGACAGAACCAGACTGCAGCATATTTCTGACTCTTAACTAGGAATGTAGAGCACCAGAAATTCCTGGACCTTAGCTAACATATCTTTGAAATAGGAGTGGCTGGAGAACTAAGTCTGAAAGATAACCTGGACCATACCTAGTGATAATTCTATACATTATTACAGGTTTTCATTCTTCTCATCCATCCTGTGTTATCCCTTATGATTCGGATAGCTCTCAAAGTGCTTTGAAAACTGTAAGAAAATTCATAATCCAAAGAGGATATTGTATGACACACTCCAAGCTCTCATAAACCCCAAGTAGAGAGGAGAGGAAGTGACAGAAGGAAGACACTTCAAATGAAACATAAACCCACTGGAGCATGGATCATTTCCACTTAGAGGAATTATTCATTTCTTTCCCACCTCTGGTAGTGAACACAAATAAGCAAAGCAGAGTCAACTATTAACTGTTGTTCATTCAGCATCCTCTTAGATCACTATATCAAATCTCTGAAACTAAAGTAACTATATGAAAATTGGCTGATGCTGATCATGGTCCACCAACTTAACATGCTCTCACTTCTTCCTCAGTTCACCATGCTATCCTATTCCAAGTCTGCATAAGTGGCAAGATAATTTATCTTTCAGAAGTGCTAGGCCATATATGGATGGTTGGGTACACCAGACAACAAAATGCATTTAAAACAAAAATATGCCTTTGCTATGGTTTTTTGTGTTTTTTGTTTGTTTTGGGTTTTTGTTTGTTTTTTGTTTTGAGACAAAGTCTCACTCTGTTACCCAGGCTGGAGTACACTGGTGTGATCTTGGCTCACTGCAACCTCCATTACCCAGATCAAAGTGATTCTCCTGCCTCAGCCTCCCCAAGTAGCTGGGATTACAGGTATGTGCCACCACACCCAGCTAATTTTTTTTTTTAGTAGAGACAGGGTTTCATCATGGTGGCCAGGCTGGTCTTGAACTCAAGACTCCAAATGATCAGCCCTCCTCAGCCTCCCAAAGTGCTGGGATTACAGGTATGAGTCACCATGTCCAGCCTGCTATGTTTCATAAATGAGTATAAACAACTTAATTGTACCATTTATCATAAAAGTTAAAAGCCTTCCATTTTCTTATCAGTAATAAGTAAGGATTTAAAAGACTCTACACATTTCCTTTAGTCTCTTATGTTCTATGGAATTATTTTTCCTAGACAGAAGCAGATAAAATCACACAGGAAGGCAGTCCAGTATAGTGGTGAACATACTTGGGCTAGAACATGCCAGTGTGTGCACCTGCTGGCTTAGTGTCCTAGCTCAATACCCTGAGGCTCAGTTTCTTCATGTGGGAAAAGGATATGGTAATATCTAATTTATAGCAGTGCTATAAGAATGAAATGAATTTCTGTATCTCAAACACTTAACATGTAATAAGCTTTCTACAGTGGCTATTATAATCCAGGAGCATGCTCTTTGTCAGAAAGTTTACCATAGGTAGCAATGGTTTTGGAAACAAAGTAAAACATTTCAATCAGGTCAGTAAAGGTTATGGCACAAAAATAGGTCAAGTTCTATGGACAAGATAGATGTTACCTCTAAAGCCAAAATTCTTCTTATGTTTGGGACTCTAAGATCTCTGGAACTCCAGAATCAACCCTATGACTACATTGCTGGTCCATTCTCTGTCTTCTATTATATGTTAGAACGATGTCAACCCTTCCCACTTGGTGTAATATGTTTCATAAATAAAAGGAAAAAATTCTACTTCCTAATTTGTATAATATAATTTTGACACTAATGATGGTTTTTAAAAAACTTACTTCAAGCATGTATTCTTTTCTTTGGGTGAAAATTTCTGATTAAAGGCACATAATTGTTAAGAATATCATCTTCATAGTTTCAGCCTGTGCTAGAAATGCAAGCCCATCTTTTCATTTTTAGTACCAACTCAACATATGCCAAATGGGCACCTCAAAATATGATCTAGTAAACGTATATATCCTGATCACTGTATGGTGGAATAGTTTTTCATATTAAAATATTTTTCTTAGGTTTGACTCTTACAGTCAGGAAAATAAAATGCTTCACAACAATAATACTATTATGGCTTATAATCAGTTACAAAGTACTTTTAAAACAGCTTATTTTCTTTAGAACAAAACTCTTTAAATTAAAATGCTTTTCCACATAAAATGTGTAAATATATTCAGCAAATACAAACCATAACAAATATATCACATAAAGTAAATGAACTATATATTTTACTTGTAAAACCCAAATTTCTATGAAGTGATACTGGATATATATGCTTTAAAGGCCAACTTAAGAATAAAGGAAGTTACTAAAAAATATGATATAAAAATCCTTTATTGATGCAAAATGAATTCAGTTTAACATTTTAATTCTGTAACTTAAAACATCTAGAATTAAGACCAAAACAATTTCTATGAATGTATATTTTTTGGTATTATATGAGGCTAATTTCAAAAGTTGATATGTATTTGAAAAATGTTAAAAATTACATTGTTCATATCACTTTAACATAAGGGGGGAAAGGATAACACCAGCTCTGAGAAAGGACAACACCATCTCTGAGAAAGGACTAAATCTTATTTAAGAATTTGATGGCCACAATGTCACAGACAATAAATATTCCTCATAATATGCTGTCCAGCAAAAAATCAAGAGAGAAATAGAGACTAAGATGAACAGAGATGTGTGGTGAACAACCTAGAATGACTCACTGGAGACCTGACAGGCCCTGAGCCACTGATGGTTGTAATACTCTCAGTTCTATAAAAAGGCAAGGGGTAAACGTTCTTGGTCTTTAATGAAACAGACTCTTTGGTGAAAGAAAGGGTACAGAAAATAAACTATAAAGAACATACAACCACCTCAGTCAAAATAAACAGGTTACTTGTAAAGGGAGAATAATCAGACTGACCCCAGACTTTTCTATAACAATGTTAAAAATCATGGTCCAGTAAAGCAACATCTATATGAGTTCACAGAAACTGTTTTGATTCATTAATTTTATCTTCTCTCTTGATATTCACATGTCTGAACAACAGAAAAATCTTCTCAGACAAAAGATACGTGTTGTCTTTCCAAGGTGAGACTACAGGTTACTATTTTATTTCTTTGATTCTTAATATTTCTCAATATATCTGTACTAATCATAAGTTATCTTTACAGTAGAATACAATTATTAATAATGCAGAAATTAAAACTGAAAATGCAAGAACTACGGAGAGCATAAGGATAGCTTACTATTTATTCAAGGAATAGTAATTTGATTTACATCAGTTTAATTGTTCTAAAATTTTCATATCAAAAAAGAAAGACTTAACCTTTGACAAAACACACACACACACACACACACACACACACACACACACACCCCTTTTCTGATTTCAGGGAAACTTAAAACAGACTCAAAAGAAAATTGCACTACAGAAGATAAAGGCTCAGAGCTATTTCCAACCCAAATAATTCTGCTTCTCATCAGTTGCTTCCTGTTTACTTGTTCTTTGGAAATAAATAATCAGTGTGTTTTTCTTTTCTTTTTTCTTTTCTCCTTATGCGTATTTTAGGAACATTTTTCTATTTACTAGGAACTTAATTATTGTTAATTTTAAGTATCTAAATGTTCATAAATGGTAAGCAATTTTCAAATATTTTACTTAAATTATCTTAAAATAATGACATTTGTTTAAAATCTATAATTCATTAATACTTAATAAATGATTAATAAATTAACATTGATATTTTATGATTAATTTTATATTATTAATACTATTAAAAGGTTATTGTCTAGATGGCTATTTTTATTAAAATTTAAATGTACCAAATTATAA